ACTATAGGATGTTTTGGTTGTTAGTACTAGGTATAATGTGTTACTATAGGATGTTTTGGTTGTTAGTACTAGGTATAATGTGTTACTATAGGATGTTTTGGTTGTTGGTACTAGGTATAATGTGTTATATAGAATGTTTTAGTTGTTAGTACTAGGTATAATGTGTTACTATAGGATGTTTTGGTTGTTGGTACTAGGTATAATGTGTTAATATAGGATGTTTTGATTGTTGGTACTAGGTATAATGTGTTAATATAGAATGTTTTGAGTGTTGGTGCTAGGTATAATGTGTTATATAGGATGTTTTGATTGTTAGTACTAGGTATAATGTGTTACTATAGGATATTTTGGTTGTTGTTACTAGGTATAATGTGTTACTATAGGATGTTTTGGTTGTTGGTACTAGGTATAATGTGTTATATAGGATGTTTTGATTGTTAGTACTAGGTATAATGTGTTACTATAGGATATTTTGGTTGTTGTTACTAGGTATAATGTGTTACTATAGGATGTTTTGGTTGTTGGTACTAGGTATAATGTGTTATATAGAATGTTTTAGTTGTTAGTACTAGGTATAATGTGTTACTATAGGATGTTTTGGTTGTTGTTACTAGGTATAATGTGTTACTATAGGATCCAAAACTTGTTGTTACTAGGTATAATGTGTTACTATAGGATGTTTTGGTTGTTAGTACTAGGTATGATGTGTTACTACAGGATGTTTTGGTTGTTAGTACTAGGTATAATATGTGTTACTATAGGATGTTTTGGTTGTTAGTACTTACTAACAACCAAAACATTCTATATAACACATTATACCTAGTACCAACAACCAAAACATCCTATAGTAACATATTATACCTAGTACCAACAATCAAAACATCCTATAGTAACATATTATACCTAGTACCAACAACCAAAACATTCTATATAACACATTATACCTAGTACTAACAACCAAAACATCCTATAGTAACACATTACACCTAGTACTAACAACCAAAATATCCTATAGTAACACATTATACCCTAGGTATAATGTGTTACTATAGGATGTTTTGGTTGTTGGTACTAGGTGTAATGTGTTACTATAGGATATTTTGAGTGTTGGTACTAGGTATAGTTTTTACGTTATTTTCATTAAATGTGTAATTGATGAAGAATATTCCTAACTATAGCACATACTTTATCTTTTCCAAATAATATGTAAAGATGTAAATTTGAAGAAATTATGACGTACGTTTATGTAACTCTTTACCAGGAAGAGGGAACTACACCAGAATCCAGCAGTATAGTAACCAGCACAACTTCAGCTCCTGTTGTGGTCTCTTCAGTCAACACCTTTGTGCCGGTGAGTTCTGTACAGGCTGATTTAATCAACAGCACGGGGAGTTTAGACTCTGCCTCGGCAGCTCACTCGACCGCCACAGCTTTCCATTCTGCCGATATGTTCTCTGATGATTCTCAGTCTAAGTCTCTTCCAGGTTTGACAGGTTTGCAGAAATTTTTATACAAGTTAAAAAATAAATAAATTATAAACAAAAAAATGTAGAATCTCTGCATAAGAAATATTTAATTAAATTTGTTTTTCTCTTAAGAATTGAAATGTCTGTTTATGTTTAAGATAAAATCTTGTTTTTTTAGAAGAGATGAAATTAATGAAAAGCATTAAATAGAATTTAAAAAATGTACAAGCATTCTTTTAATTAAACATTGCAGGTTCAACGGGGTTGCAGCCTACAGGATTTGATTCAAGCATGTTTTCTAAAACATCTCCCGAACCCCGATCATTATCAGAGGCTGTCGAAGTTAAGAATGAAACGAGTGAGAGTTCAAAAACGCATAAAGATAAAAAGAAGAAAAAGAAGAAAAACAAACATAAACATAAGCATAAGCACAAACATGACAAACCTGAAAAGGACAGACTAGATAAAGAAAGATTTTACAGTTCAGGTGGAAGTACAAATCAGTCACCTGCGACTTTTAGTGGCGGAAGTCCTCATCTGTAAAATATCTAAATAGAGAAAGTAATGAATAAAAACATCCACATTTTAGACTAATTGATACTTTTCTTATATTACAAATTTCTTTTGTTTTCACCAAAGGTAAAATTGTGATGTAGAAGCCTGGTGCATTCTGTGATCTATAGCATCCTTGGTTACTGCAACACCATAATATTATTTACACACCTAAATTAATTTGGGTTACTAATGATGTCTTTTTTTAGTTTGTCTTAACACCACATCTTATAGCTGCTGGTAGACATCAAGATATTAATTATCAGCAAAACATCTGTTTCAAAGACTAGACTGTTTAAAATTAGTAAAAATGTTTCAGTGTGGTTTTGTTTTTAGTTGTTGTTTTTTTTTTTGAATAAACTTTGTAAAATATTATGTTTTAATGTGGCACATCCCTCACATTATTTTAATAACAGCTTCTTGATCTAAAGTTATTTGAAGAATTTATATATGATTTTATGATTACAGTTGTTGAAAATACCACTATGATGTACCAGCTGTTTAGTTAGATAATATTAGTTCAAAATTTACTTAGTAATAGATAAAGAATTTGTTGCCTTTTATTAAAGTGTAAATTTTCCTGTGTACTGTTACGAGTTCTTAACATTTTATTTTGGTATTGTCATATAGTGAAGAGTTTATTGGTTCATGTACAGTTTGACACATCATATCATACAAATGATAGAAAGGTGAATTTGCACAAGGGTTTTAAGGGTATTGTGCAGATGCAAATACCATAGTTGACACATTTTACCACCAGGAGTGCTATTGTGGTTTCCCATCAGGTATACGCAGCCTATCCATGAGTAATTCGACACCCACTGCAGAAACAAACAGGTAAAAAGGCCAATAGCGGACCTGTTCTTAGAAACACAGTTGCACACTGTAATTACAAGATCTGTAGGATTGTGGTCCATTTGAGGTGAAGAACTTGGATGAGTGTCCCTAGAAGTTGGTTGTTTAGGATACTTTCTCAACTATCAAGGATGGACGACACGTGCCTGTTAACGTTCATATCTGCCAATTGGTCTAATTACAGGAGAGTGTTAATGCCTTGGCCTTAAAGCCATTATTTTGTGACTTGAGCTGAATAAGCAAGAGCCCCATCTTGTGTGAAAACAAAGTATTCTCTGGTAAGCTGGTCATTGTAATAGACAGGTAGAAGGTTTATCTCAAGAATTGTGATGTATTGAGCAGCAGCAACCACCCCTTTGCATACCACCATCAGTGAATAAGCAAGAGCTCCATCTTGTGTGAAAACAAAGTCTTCTCTGGTGAGCTGATCATTGTAAGAGACAGGTAGAAGGTTTATCCCCCCAATAACAGAAATAATGTTGTATTTTGTATGGCTGCAGGCAAAGTTCTTGGAAAATATGTCCACTGTCCAAGAATTGTGCAAATCTGGACTAGGAAACAATTACAATGGTGTCTCAGAAGGCAGGAGATATTTGTCCCTTAGAGCTCTTTGTACATAACATCATGGAGATGGTTGATTTATATTCTTGGAGGTGGCTATTTACTTATTAGTAGATTTTGTAAGTTTTGTTTTTCCTTTTACAGTAATGGTGTCAGTGGTATAAAATTAAATTAACAGGATATTTTTATGATCTAATGAAGAATTTTAATACAAATATTATGTTAATAGGCACAAACAAGGCTAGAAGGTTCTAAGAAAATTCATTTTATGAAGTTAAGAATAAGTTACATTGAGTAAAGCCAGCCAGAATCTGTGGGTTTGCCATTCTAGTAATTATTGGATAACTCCTCTTTGTTTTTGCAACATAAGAAAGAGAAAACAAAATATTTTAAAACCTAGTATGTTTTCTATTTTTTAATCAATCCATGATATTCACAAACACCATTTTTTTTATGTAACTTATCATCTTCCCAAACTAGATATTAAACGGGATGTGTTGAAAGACGAATTTTAGTTTGGTTATTTAGGTTTCAATTTAACTGAACAAAGCAATATTACCAATACATCTGATAGAGTCTTATTTATCTGAGTAGTTATATTTGGCGGCCAGGATTTATGAAAGAACACATTTACAAGGAAAGGGTTAAATATATTATATTACAAAGGATAATAAGGTTTACAGCATAGGCTAACTTAACATATTTCATGTTAGTGTTTCCACTTCAACAACAATTATCATAACAAAACATTCATATATATATATATACACAATAACATAAAGGTTTAATGTAATAGTACGATGACCGTACTATAGATAAAAATAAGGTAAAGTGAATGAACTCGGGCAAATACGGCTGATGCTATGCTCGCCCTTTCAGCCATGTGGGTGTTATAATGTGACGATCAATCCCACTATTCACTTGTAAAAGAATAGTCCAACAGTTGGCGGTGGGTGGTGATGACTAACTGCCTTCCCTCTACTCTTTCAATGCTAAATTAGGGACGGCTAGCGCAGATAGCCCTCTCGTAGCTTTGCGCGAAATTTGAAAACAAACGGCTAATGCTGCTTGGGCCTAGAATATCTAGTATGTTTCCCCCAAAAAATAAATCACTTCATTTTGCTTACAAACCGTTGTCTGCCAACTTATTATTTTATTAACATAATGTGCTTTATTACTCAAGTAATTTTATACTTGTTAATTAAGTACTTCAAATAAAGTTTCAATTATGATTTTTATTTTGTCAGTAGAGCGATAAGTTTATTCAGCGGCAACTTTCAATGAAGTGTGTTTGATTGCTGTTAAGGGTTTTTTTGTTACCGTAAATCCCTTATTAAACAACTATGATAATAATCAGTGATACTTGTCATGAGACATTGGCATTAAGTCTATGACATCATAAAACACTACGTTCTTTATCTGGTCCTCTAGTGATTTTTAAGGATAAGTGAAAAATTTTGCGGAAATATATAAAGAATGTAGTGTTTAAAAATAAAATGGGTCTAATATTAATGTCTTATGACAACTGTAATTCATTATGACCATGCTTCGTCAGCTTTTAAAAGGCGTTCATACCATAACTATTGTGATTACTACTTTTTCGAGTTTGAAACTTTATTTTTAACGAATGTACTGCATTTTTCTTCTTCTTTTAAATCACTTTTTAAAATTTCCTTATAGTTTGATCTAAAATGAATCATTACAGTTTTCACATACAATTTAAATTTGAAAAAGAGCTTGGGATGGCCTGGAGGTTAGGGCGCCTCAGCAAGCTCACTCTTTCGTACTTGGGGGCGTTACATAATGACGGTCAATCCCATTTTTCGTTGGTAAACAGTATACTAAGAGGTGGGGGGGGGAGATATTGATCGTTTGCATTCTATCACTTCTAAGTTAGGGGCAGATAGCCCTCGACTAGCTTTGCGCGAAATTCCGTAAACAGAGTTGAGGAAAATAACTTATTTCATATAGTAAACCCTTTTGTATTTTATTTTATTGAGAAGTGTTTTGGTGTGTTACTAAATATTATGATACATTGTGATATACATTATTAAGTTATTAATGTGTATTGTTAAACACTGACGACATGAAATATTAAAAAAAGCGCACGTGACGTTTACATTTCATTAAACAATATTTTAGTATGTGACTCAATCTTGAATTACAAGCTTTAAATTTATGCTGTTTAACTCATTGAATTTGAATCGTACATCTAGAAATACCAGAATTTAAAATTTGGCTTTCGTTTTAGTTATATTCATAATTGATAATTAATAGTTTAAGTTATTTATATAAAACATATTAGAAAAGAGGCGGAGTTATATGACAGAGTCAATAATTTTTAGCACAGATGCTGGCTTTAAACAAAAGACACGCCTTTATAAAAAATACTGTAGTGCCATCTGGTGAAAATTTCTATTACCCATCGTTCCACTTATTTCTTAGAGCATGCGCACTGTTCGTATTGCAAATGGCGTTGACTGTTATTGTTCCATGGCGAACGTCAAGGGGATAAAATTATGTTGGAAAAAATACAACTTTCCTGTAAGTAAAATTCATTTTTAAATAGCAGTAAATTTCAAAGATTTCGTGGCATTTTTTATTTGACCCATCCGTAAGAAGTATCTTTTTAAATTGTTTAAGAATTGAGTCGCAATTTAGCACTGACATAGTCAAATTAGAAAAATATTTCATTCCAACGCAAGACACAAATTCGACCACAACTTACTACCTTTTTTCACCGTTTTTGATTCGTTAGAGCGAAAAGAGGAACTTCGTCGTCACGATATACATATATATTTATACATGTATATATATACATATATATAACATATTTATTATCTTTATATTTCTATTTGTGATAATATTCTATAAATTATGGCTGCTGTTTATTAAGCCATTTCAAAGGTAACGTCGTTGGAAATTAGATAACCTAAAATGAGGTAAAGCATTTTTTTCTCAAGTCACTTGCAAGTTGCGGATACGGCTACCTAGCGTAAATAGTAAAACCGTAAGGTAAGTTAAACGTCATCCAGCTCGAACTAATCAGTTGAGCCTCTGGAGACAGAATTGCGTTTTGAAGTCACTTTTTTTTATATTAACACTCGCTAATTGTACAATAATAATTAATTTTAATGGAAATTTGCAAATTTCCTTAACATCGTAAGTTTATTAAATTTCTGAAATAAAAGCAAAAAATTGAAAAAAATAACGTAATGTAAGACTAGTAATTATAAATATTAGTGTAAATTTTGGATTTTTGAAATTATGCTTTTTTATTTAAAATATTAGTTTTACTTTTAGAGTTCAAACACAATTAAAGTTAAAGTGAATTGTAGACACCAGGGTGCAGTAATTTGTGTCAAGTTTGTTGCAAGCTACATTTCTCTAATTTTTTAAAGTATAAGTGTATTTAATAGTTGTATACAGATTTATAAAACAAACATCAGATCTCAGCTTGCAAAATGAGAGATCAGTTTAAATTTTTTTCAACAGTTCTTTTCTAGAGGTGTCCACAAATAAGTCAGACATGAAGATCTCTGGAACCTTCCAACATATTAGTTTTGGTTTAAAATTATCAATAAAGTTCAGGATTAATAAAACATTATTTGGAAGTGGGTATTTGTATTTGAACCCACATTCAGTTATATTTTGTAATGTATACTTGTACATTATTATAAACAGTAAAATGCTGTAGAGCTTATGAAAGACTTACAAACAAGAGTAGTAGTAGACTGAATGTTTATTAAGTGGTAATAAAACCATTATCATAATTTCACAATATCTTTTGTCATTCAACTTGCAGTACAAGCAACATGTGTGAAGAGGTCAGACTGTAGAGAATTGTTAGCAGTATTTTAGATCAGACTGTAGAGCATTGTTAGCAGTATTTTAGATCAGACTGTAGAGCATTGTTAGCAGTATTTTAGATCAGACTGTAGAGCATTGTTAGCAGTATTTTAGATCAGACTGTAGAGCATTGTTAGCAGTATGT